CCCATAGTGGAGAAGGGTCGCAGCCGGTGCTTCCATCCGCCCCGCTGTGTCACCATGGGCTGGGGCTTATGGCAAAGAAGATGCCAGGGTTGATACTCAACGTAGAGTGCGGCAACTATATCCCCAAAAGCCCGGTTTAGGGTTTAGGGTTTAGGGTTTATGGCTTAGGGCTTCGGGCTTCGGGCTTAGGCGTTAGGGTTTGGGTGGTTTTAGGGTACTCAGGGTTTGAGCGGGTTTGGGTTCGTCGGGGTTGTAGGGAATGTAGGGCTTAGATTAGGGGGCTTAAGGCTTTGTGGGGGTGGTTGGTCTTTAAGGGCTTTGGGTTAGTAGATTTTGTGCTGATTCGGGTTGAAGGGGCTTGGGGTTTGTAGGCCCCGAGCCTTTAGAAAAAGTTTCATGAAGACTAGAGACCAGAACAAAGGGTGGTAAGTCTGAGGAAGCAACAGGGAACCCTTGTGGGTTCTTGCCGGGGGGGGGGGGAAACCTGTAAAACCCTAACCCTTCAAGCCCAAAACCCAAAATCCTAAACCCAAATGTACCACTCGGGTAGTTAGTCTTAATGAGTGGCCGGTCAGGGAGGGGGCTGTGCTCAAGAATCGCCTTTAAACAGAGCCAGTGTCCAAATCCCACAGCACTTGAAAAAAAACACCAAACAACCCAAAAACCTAAACCCTAAACCCGGAACCCTGGGGCTCACGCGCATGAGGGCCCTTAGGGCTTCGGCGGCTGCTGGCGGGGCCATGGCGGAAGACGGGCTCCATGGGCAAGCTTCTTGTGAGTTCTTAGGGTTAGGGTTTAGGGTTTAGGGTTTAGGGTTCAGGGTTCAGGGTTCAGGGTTCAGGGTTCAGGGTTCAGGGTTCAGGGTTCAGGGTTCAGGGTTCAGGGTTGGTTTAGGGTTGGTTTAGGGTTTAGGGTTTAGGGTTCAGGGTTTCGGGTTTAGGGCTGGTAGGGCTGTTAGGGCTCTTAGGGTTCTTAGTTCCTGGTGTTAGGGTTGAAGGTTTTAGGGGTAGGATTCAAGCTTTCGTGGGGTTCGCTGCGGCATCTTGACCCATGGCAGGTTCAGATGCATGTCATGACTGGGCCTGGGGAGACTTGAGACGCCTGAGCCTAATGCTCACATGAAGGCATCCTGACATATGCATCTCTGTGCGAGGTGTTCGCCTGCTGCGGTGGCAGTGCATGATTGCATCATCAAGCACTGAAGTTGAAAGACACAATTACTAGGTTGCCCAGTATCCTAGGTTAAAAAAGGGTGCCCTTTTTTGCTTAAAGAGGCTTTATAAGGGAGCCTAAATCCCCTAAAAAGGGAATAAGGGCACTACCGGGCACCCTAGCAATTAGGGAATAGGGCAGTTGGCTCAAAGAACTGGGACAGTGAGTCTTGATCCTTGGGGGGGGTACCTTTTTGAAATGACCCCTATGAAAGCACCCTGAAGCTAAAACCCTAAAACCCTAAAACCCTGAAACCCTGAAACCCTAAAACCCTAAACCCCTAAAACCCTAAAACCCTAAAACCCTAAAACCCTAAAGCCCTAAAACCCTAAAACCTAAATCCCAAACCCTAAACCCTGCACCCTAGATGCCGTCCTTAGCGCGCCTAGAACCCTGCAGAGTGCAATGGGCCGTACTTTTACCCACTTTGAACCTTACTGGGGCTTAGGGGTTCAGGGTTTAGGGTAAAAACCCAAAACCCTAACCCTACTAAACCCTAAACCCTAAATTACGTTTGGGGCTTATAGGGTCTGCGCCGCCTGGTGGATGGGGGTGGCGTCTTGGCCGCCGCTGGCGCCTGCTTCGCCGCGATGCGTGCCGTGCCGGGCCTCTAATTCAGTTTATGGATTCCGGTTTAGGGTTTAGGGTGTAGGGTTTAGGACTGAGGGTTTAGGGCTGAGGGCTTTAGGGTTTAGGGCTGAGGGCGTTGAAGGTCTGGGGCTTGCAGCAGGGCCTAAACCCTGAACCTTAAACCCTTTGGCCTTTGCAAGGTCTCTTCAATCAAATGACCTGTGAGCAACAGCCTCGGTGCACTAGACGGAGTCCTCTGAATCACAAAGAGCACACGCAGTCTCTTTCAAAACCTTAAGCCCTAAAACCTAAACCCCTACAATTCAACAGCTTGGGTAAGCTTGTCTGAACCTTCTTTCAGCAAGCCGTGCCATAAACGGTTTGGGCAAGGGGCTTAGCACTCAGGGCACAATCAGTCACGAACTGTAAGTCTCAGAGCATGCAGGAAAGCGTGGGGTTTAGGGTTGAGGGTTTAGGGGAGCAGCAGTGACAGCAAAGCATGCACCCCAAGCGCGGGACCCCAAGCCCTCGAGCCCAGACCGTTGAACCCTTAGGCACGACCTGAAACCTCCTCACCTCACACACGTAAACCCTCAAACTTAAGCCCTCATTGCACTCTACACCCTTAAAACTAAAGCCTCCCTATACACCCCAAGCCTTTGAGCACTTAAACCCTTCAACCCCTGTCTAGGGGCCGTTAGATGGTCCATCCGAACCCTTGAAAGGGACCATTGTAACGGCCCCTAAACCCTAAACCCTAAACCCTAAACCCTAAACCCCAAACCCTAAACCCTAAACCCTAACGACCCTGGAACTACTCTAAGCCTTCAAGACCTAAGCCTGTCAAGCCCTTTAACCTCCTAAATCCTGCAAGCCTTAGACCCTTCACAATAAGACCCTAAACCCTAAAAAAAAGTCATGGGTGCTTGGAGCCTTAAACCCCTTATTGAACCCTTCAGCCCCCTTCCCAAAAAGCCGAAGTTCAAGCGCTGAAGCCTTTAAGCCTCCAAAGGTTTAGGGTTTCGGGTTTAGGGTTCAGGGTTTAGGGTTCAGGGTTTAGGGTTTAGGGTTTAGGGTTTAGGGTTTAGGGTTTAGGGTTTAGGGTGTCCGAAGCCCCCGAGTCCGCAGAGCCTGAAACCCTTAAACCCTCAAACCCCTCCATGAGGTCCTGGTAGAGGGGACAAGAATCTAGGGTTTAGGGTTTAGGGCTAGGGTTTAGGGTTAGGGGTGTTTAGGGTTTAGGGTTTAGGGTTTAGGGATGTTTAGGGTCTAGGGTTTGTGATTCTACTGGACAAAAATCGGAGGTTTCGGGGTTTTCGGGTTCTTGGCGCCATACCAAGCGGTCTGAGGTCCCCAGCGTCGCGACCGGCCAAGCACGAATCACCTGATCGTGTTCTGGTTTATTAGTGGGTTTAGGGTTTAGGGTTTAGGGTTTAGGGTTTAGGGTTTAGGGTTTAGGGTCGCCCAGTTACCATATCAGAGTAAGGGTACCCTTTTTGGGGTTGGCCATTTTACCAAGGGAACCTTGAACCCAAAAAAGAGGCGAAAGGGTACCACCGGGCTACCAAGGTTTTCACTTGGGCTTAGGACTTCCCGAATCGGATCTAGGGCTTGGGGTATGCGGCTTTGGCGTGTAGGGCTACAGATGCCCGAAACCCTAAACCCTAAACCCTAAACCCTAAACCCTGAACCCTGAACCCTAAACCGCAGGAGATGGCTCTTGATGGTTTTGAGTTCTTCTGCTGGCCACTAAAGCCCTGAAACCCTAAAACCCTAAACCCCAAATATGATCCTCTTAAACCCAAAAGGGGAAATGCGCAAAATGTCCCTAAACCCATAAGCCCTAAACCCTAAACCAAGGGCCCTACCTGGAACCCTAAACAACTGGACCCTAGAGTAACCTAGGAATGCAAAGGGTGCCCTTTCTGGTTTAGGGGGGGCGTATAAAGGGAGCCTAAACCCTAAAGCAAGGGAATAAGGGCCTACTCTGGGTCCTAGTTGCCCTAAACCCTAAACCCTAAATCCTAAAGCCTAAACCCTAAACCCTAAACCCTAAACCCTAAGCAACAGCGCCTGTAGGGGGCGAGGCGATGTGCCGCAGGCAGAGGCGCGCCTAGAGCAGAGTCTTTATTGGGTGGAGGGGTTTAAGGGGGCTTTGGGGGTTTTAAGGGGTTGTAAGGGGTCTTGAGTCTTTATTGCGGGGGCGGGGGTGGAGGGTTTTTAAGGGGTTGTAAGGGGGTTTGTAAGGGGTTTTTGAAGGGTTTTTTAGGGGTTGTAAGGGGTTGTAAGGGGTTGTAAGGGGTTGTAAGGGGTTTTAAGGGGTTTAGGGTTTGGAGTTTTCATATTTTCTGTGTTGTTGAGGGCTTTAAGGGTTTAGGGTTTAAGGGTTTTTCTAGAAGCGCAGTGCTTGCAGAAAGCCCCCTGGCGAGACTGCGGGTCGTGGTTAGGGTTTAAGGTTGAGGGGTTGTAGGGGTTTAGGGGCTTAGGGGTTTAATGGGTTGGGGGTTTAGAGGTTTCATGGTTTAGGGGTTTATGGGTTTAAGGCTTTAGGGGTTTTAGGGGCTCAGGATGTTTAAGGGCTTTGCCGGGCACCTTCCCCCCCTCCGCCCCCGCCCTCGTGAGGGTTGAGGAGTTTCAGGGTTTAAGGGTATTGAGGGTTTTGAGGGCTTATGGGGTTTGAAGGGCTCTAGCGTTTCTGAGGTTTACGGGGCCCTCAGCAATTCGGCTGTTCGGAGGTTGGCGGCTTGCCTCGGCCTGAAGGTTTGTTTCAGGAGCGGGCGTAGGGTTGAGCCTTCTAATGAAATACTGTAGTTCAGGTCTACATGGCTCAACTAAGGGGGTGTCAGCGTTTGCTGTTCGAGGCTTGCGAGAGGGATTAGTGCTTGATTACTTGATGCGATGTCGGTGTTTAGGGGTCTAGGCAATAGCATAACCCTCAACCCTAAAAGTACCCTTTAAAGTTGAGGGTTTTGGTGTAGGATTCTGATGAAGTGAGATTCAGCTGACAGCAAGCTCACCCATGTCCGAGGCCGTTTGAAGGGCCCAACATGCAGAAAGCCGAACGTGCCAAGCCCATGAAAGCCATGAAGGCCATGAAGGCGATGAAGGCATGAAAAGGCGAAGCTGCATAACAACTCGCAATGTATAGCAGGCATAGTTACAGTGACATGTGCTCCTGAGAAAAGACTTGTCGCGACTCGTGTCGCATTCGTTGTGCCATGGCCCTGCAATCCTCCGATGACATTCATAACCTCCGGCCCCCAACCGGACAGGTTATGAGCCCAATGATGCCAATGGCGGAGGGCATGGCAGGTGTTCGAGATTCAGTTCCTGGACAAGCTGGTTTGCCGAGTGGGGAAATGGGCAGACATGGTGGATATGGAACACTGAATCCGATCCCGAGTCGGAGTGGAGCAATGGGACCATCGCCTTTGATGAATGGTGTGAATCCTGCAGGAGTGGCTGCTTCTTTGGATGGGCCAACGATAACCGGATCTGGCGAAGCGAGAACCGCACTGGGCGCGACGAACGAAACGACGAGGGTGGGTCTAGGGTCTAGGGTTGACATAGGGCCAGCAGAACTGCAGCAGCATCAGCAGACAGCAGTTCCTTCACACCCAGCCACAGCACCTCAGGCCCTGGGACCACCACTACCAGGTCCGAGCCCCTTCCAAGGTCGTCCTCAAGAACAGCCACAGCTCGCTTTGGAGGCACCACCTGCTAGAGAAGCCGCCAGGGTCCCTCAAGAACCAGATGATCAATCCCTGCTGGCTATGGTTCCTCGTCAAGGCCTACTACAACCGTCCCAAGAGGCCCGAAATGCAATGGCGCAGCTAGCTGAGCAACAGACAGCTCTCGTTGCAGCGGTCCAGTCTAGGGCCCGAAGGATGTTGCAGGGGACAGGTGTGGAGCCGAGTGCTCAAGATCCAGTTCATAGCAGTGAAGATCATGTGGTTTGGTATTCCAGGCTACGAGGACTTGTTCAGGGCGTGGTGAATCCAGTGATGGAGAGGGTCCAGGTGATGAGGAGTCGTACTGCGATGAGCTCACCCCAGGCCTGGCAGTCACCGACAACGACGCCCGAACCTCGTGAAACTGGAACTCCACTTATGGAACCTGCCATGCAGCAAGCCATGCAGGAATGGACACAGAGGACCTCTTTGTTGCAGCCAAGGCAAGATCTGTTTGGAAGTCCTGCTGAGCACTCGTCGGGCGAATCTGTCTCCCCTGAGATGGTGCAAGAAGAGGTCAGGCGACAAGTTCAGATTGCAATCCAAGGACGAGATGTCAAGGTGCACCAGCTTCAATCGGAAAATGACGAGTTGAAGAAACTGCTGCATCAGGTGATGGAAGCCGCCTCAAGACCGCAGGGGGTGGGTGAGGAGATGACGAGAGCCGACCTGAGAGGCCGCTTGGGATCTGGGGGCCTTGAACTTCCAGGTGTTCGAAGGGCAAGGGGAAGCGATCGTCCTCATCAACCAGAGGAACTACGGCCAATTGGGGTGGAAAACGAAGCTGCAGGGCTGCTTGGTCCTCCCCCTGGATTGGATGGTGGTGGATATAGAGCTAGCTTCGTGAACAATGATGGTGGCAATGTGGGTGGTGGTGCCCAGGGACAGGGCACAGGGAAACCGCCTACAGGGTTGAGCTCTGATCTGCAAGGAGGGCAAGCCGTGGCGAGTGGAGGCGAGAACCTTGGCAAGAACGACACCCTTCCTGAAGCAGGTCGGAGCAGTGGTGGCGCTGGTGGCATGGGAGGTGGAGGACCAAAGGACAAGGAGACCTCGACCCTTGAGCTTCTAGCACATGGAATTCAGCAGTTGCAGCAGATGCAGATGAAGAAGGATGGCCATGACCCTGAGCTCCTGAAGGGCAGTGTCGAATTACCGAAGATGCCGGAGCCCTACACAGATAGCAGTTCAGTGGCCTTCCTGGAGTGGATGTATGAAGCGGGGCAACTCATCGGCTCCCTGACGGAGAAAGCCTCTGGATGGTGGGAGGCGAACTCCCAGTTGGCAGTGAACACCTACAAGGCCTACCAAGGTGAGTCGCCACTCCAAAAGTTGAAGATCAGGGTGGGGGCGAACTCCTTTGTGGACGATGAGAAATGGTCAAGACTGGAACGAAGAGTCATGACCTTACTGCTCCAGTCGATGCAACCCCAAATCAAGAACGAGGTGATGATGCTCCGGATAGACAAGGTCAAGGATTGTCTGTTCAAGCTCTACACCATCTACACCCCGGGTGGAGCAAGTGAGAGGGCATCATTGATCAAACAACTGGAGTACATTGCGCCTCAAGACAGCCCAACGGAGCTCACCGCCAGCTTGAGGAAATGGAAGAAGCTGGTCTCTCGAGCCTCAGAGATGGGAGTGAACATTCCCGATGGCTCTGTGCTGATGGTGGCGGTGGAGAATGCGATCAAGAAGGTTGTAAGTGGACAACCGGATATGGCCTTCAAGCTGAACATGGCGAAGCAGGACCTCCAGCTCCCTTACCAGCCACATATCACCTCCGTCTTGACCTATGTGGACCATATCCTGGATGAGCTCCAACAGGTGATCCCCATTGCGCGCAACGACCCGAAGCTCAAGGGCATGAATGTGGAACCTTGAAAACACCGTCCAATGCTGGAAGTCCAGCAAGAGGCCAGAAAGCACCTTGCAAGTTCTGGTCCAGTGACGAAGGTTGTCGGAAAGGTTCCAGTTGCAAGTTTGCTCATGAGTTCATGTCCAAGGAGGAAAAGAAGGGTCGATGCTGGCATTGTGGAGGAAAGAACCACCGGCAGAACGAATGCCCTGTGAAAACGGGAAAATCAAAAGGAGGTGGAAAGGGAAGCTCGTCCACCCAATCTACAACTCCACCGACTTCGACAACGGCTACCGTGGCAGCGATGGCGGTGACCCCTGCTTCTAGTGATCAACCTCTTCAATCAGGAGAAGCCCCAGCATCCACAGCGCCTGCAGGTTCGGGAACATTGACCTCGTCCGGTTCGTCCTCGGCTGCCTCTACCGTCTTGTTTTCGGAGCAACCGACCCAAGCTCAAACCACTGAAGTCCGTGAGCTGGCGGAACAATTCCTGGCGAAGTTGAAGCGACTGGCACCCATGCAGGTGGAAACCAATGAGGCCATCGCGACCTTGAACCACTTCCTCCGGAGTCAAGGGCTGGAATCACCGCAAGGATTGGCTCTTCTTGACAGTGGAGCCTCTCACCCATATAGAGCTCCAAGGTCTCAAGATGAAGTTCAGAAGGCCAGAAAAGTGGCGGTCCAGTTGGCGGATGGGAGGACAGTTCGGCTTCGACAAACTACCGCAGGGACCCTGTTGCCGGAACAAGCCAATGAGGGTGACAACTTCGGTGGGACCATCCTGCCTTTAGGCAGCTTGGTGCAGTCACTTGGGTGTACTTTGAGGTGGAGCCGGAGGCGAGGACTACAAGTTCACCATCCAGAACATGGTCTGCTGCCCACAAAGCTTGTGGGAAATTGCCCGGTCTTGAGAGAGGCCGAAGCTCTGAAGCTAATCAGTGACCTAGAGGAGGTTGAGCTCGGGAAGTTGAAGGCCAACAACATGGATGGCGTCATGAGGGCATTGAACACCGGAGGTCAAGAAGAAGGGCCATCATGGAGGGAAGGTTTGGATGAGTTCGTGGCAACGGGATCCAGGAGGGCTCTTCGTCGAATGCTGTTGGATCCAGACTCACCTTTGGGTTCTTGTACTGAGGACGAGATTGTGGCTATGATCGGCTTGGACGATGTGAACCTAAGTGATTCGAGCGGGGCGTCTATCTTGAAGGGTTTGCCGCTGAACCGAGCAGCAAGGCGAAGATTGCTGTCTACAAGATGGGCGATACACATGTTCAGTGGTGAGAGCAAGGAAGCTGAGATGGAAACGGAGTCCATGTCGACCCTGAAGATAGACCTGCGAATATCCAAAAGGTATGACATGCTGAAGAGCCACGAGACCACCAAGGCCCTACTGTGGGCTGCAGCTCGAGGACAAGTGGAAGGCATCTATGGGGGTCCGCCTCGTAAGATGGAGAACCGAAGCCTTTTGTGGCCATGGAATTGCCTGGGCCGAGCGACTTCTGGAGTGGCCCTGTCTGGCAGGGCATTAAGTCGACCTACGATGTGGCCACCCTCTACATGGAGGCAAACCATGAAAGATACGCCTTCGCCACCAACCTCAACGTCCCGAATGGTTTCCTGGTACCGAACTTTGAAGCCTTGTCCCAATCAACACCTCCGAGATCCCAATGGCCAGATGAGCTGAAGCAGCGACTGTATACCGGGATGAAGCTTTGGAGAGTCTATGGGGACGAAGGCATGAGATTGAGGATGATGGCAAGGATGACAAAGCCGGTGAACATGACGGAAAAGGAGCTGAAGCATTGGGAGGACCATGTGAAGGCAGGCCACATCCCTTATGATCGTCGTTGCCAAACATGTGTCCGGACGGCGGCGACAGGCCGGGCCCACCGGAGAACTTTAGCGCCGAGTGCATACTCACTTTCGCTGGATATCGCCGGTCCTTTCAGGGCCAGAGGCGAAACAGCGGATTCGGCTCGCTACAGGTACCTCCTCGTGGGAGCATACTGCCATCCGAAGTTGGAAGTCTGTCGGGAGAGTCCAAATCCTGAGGAAGAAGCTGAGGTGCAGGATGATGGTCTGGGGGTGGACAATGATGACCCTATGGAAGAGGAGGATAAAGACGATCCAGTTGAGGAGGAGGACGACGACTACCAGAAAGAGATGAATGAGAGGTACAAGATGATCTACAAACACATTGGAGATGACATCGAGTACCAGACCTTGCACTTCGCAGTACCTATGGAGACCCGAACAGGGAAGGAGGTGTTTGCGAAGGTCCGAGACATCTACCTGGAGCTTCGTCGCGATGGACTGCCCTTAACAAGAATCCACTCGGATCGGGGAAGGGAGTTAAAGGGGCAAGCCTTGAGGTCCTGGATGTCTGAACGGGACATCCTGGCGACTACGGGTGAGTCACAACAACCGCAGCAGAATGGAAGAGCTGAAGCCCTTGTACGACAGTTGAAGAGCAGATGCAGGACCCTACTCCGATCGTCAGGATTACCCAGAACATGTTGGCCTCTAGCTGCAACCTTCAGTGCTCGAAGACAAAGAGATCTAGCGCTTGGAAAGCTTGATGACAAGGACCTCACCTTCGGGGCGAAAACCTATGTCAAGGCCAAGGTCTTTGGAACTGGAGGCTCGTACGATTTAGATGAAAGATGGAAGGAAGGGGTCTTCGTGGGATATTCCAGTGATGTCCAACGGGGAAAGGTTGTCCGGTTCGGAGATGGGGGCTATGTCACGAGTGTGCATTTGAGACCGTATCTGGTGGACTCGGACGACCTGGTGGACCCGAATCCCTTGGAGCTGCATCTACCAGCACCAGAACGTCGTGTTCGAGGGAAGGCACGAATCGCTGGAATGACCCTGCCAGAGACTTCTGCTGAGTTGTTGGCGAAGGAGTACCTCCAGGAGGAGAAGTTCGACTTAGAAGACATCCTTCGACTATGGCAAGAGCTCAAACCACAACCCAAGGAAGGACTACGGACAAGCAGAAGGGAGAAAAGAAAGGAGGAACCAGCGATCTGGAAGACTGGTCAATTCACCCATGGTGGGATTTGCGGTCTGCTTGAAGCAACAAGGACAATGCCTTGGACAACATCCTACTTGACCAAGGTCCTCTCTGAGTGGGTGGGGCACAACGAGTTCACCGCGCTGCAGATCACGGACAATGTGGGGATGCAAATGCATAGAGACAGCCACAACTACCAAAGCCGAATGAACGTTGTCTTGCCTGTGTGCTTGCCGGAACAGGGAGGTGGAATATGGGTTGAGGCCGACGAGGTGGACTACTGTTGGGAAGATGAATGGAGGCAAGTTCGCGAAGCTGAATGGCGAAGAGGCAAAGTCCATGAACTACGACTTGGAGAACCAATCACATTCGACCCGAGGAAGTACCATGTGACTGAAGATTGGGTGGGAAGAAGGGTGGTTGTGGCAATGTATACTCCAAGGGCGAAGAATATGGATGGCTTCACGAAGGAAACCTTGGATGACCTTGGATTTGGAATGCCGGAAGAGGACCTCAGGCAGTTTCCCGATTACAAGAAAGGTGCGATCTTGAAGATGATGAACATGGCCCAAGAGGACAGGGAGGTGGACGCGGTGGTATTCCAAATGAAGGAGCCAACAGAATCCAAGGTGAATTTAGAAGAATCTTTAGACGAGCTTCATGAACTTCAAGAAGGAATTATGGAAAGGCTTCGAGCTCGGGCTGAGAATCTAAGGGACCTCCTCAATGAGGAGGAGATCTTAGCGGAAGAGCTACAAGCGACCAATGAAATGGTGAAGGAGGAAGCGGACCACGCCCGGGTGACGATCGAGGAGTGGCTTAAGGATGCCGAGGAGAAGATGGGCAAAGTGAGAAAGGTAACTGAGTCCTTTTTCCTCAAAGTCGCGAACCTGAACGAGAATGATGAGATCGCGAATGTGGAGGAGTACCTTCAGAATCTGCAGGAGGACTTGAAGGTGACCTTGGATGTGCCCTTGGACCAGGTGAAGCTGTGTCTCGAAAAATGGGTTGAAGCAATCCAAAAGGAGCTAACCAACCTGGAGGTGAACACCGGGGCGCTAGAGAGAATCACCATGGAGGAGGCGAAGCAGATGGAAAGAGAGGGAAGGCTCCGACTCATCCCTGGAAAAATGGTCTTCACTGTCAAACCTGTGGGGGAGGCCAATTCGGGGAGTATCTCATCTACATCACCAAAATGGAAACGGAAAGCGAGGATGGTTATCTGTGGGAACAGGGTGGACTTCGATGACGACCACACCAAGGAGTTGCTCTATGCTTCGGGGGCATCGGCCGAGAGTCTGAGGATCGCACTGTGCATTGCAGTGGCAGGTGGGTGGCTGGCAGCAGTCACCGATATCACTGGTGCATTTCTTCTTTCGGAATGGCCAGAAGGCAAGCCTCGATATGGTGTCCTACCTCCTCGAATTCTTCAACAGGGTGGATTTCTGGGGCCTACGGATGTTCTTTTGGTCAAGCGGCCGCTATACGGACTCCGTGAGTCGCCGGCACTTTGGGCTTCCTACAGAACACGTGTGTTAAAGGGTCTGGAGATACCGTACCACAAGGGCAGCCTCCGGTTGAAACAGCTGAGGACGGACTCTGAGCTGTGGATGATCATGTTCTGCGAGGGCGAGGAAATGACCCTGTACGGCATCCTGGTCACTTATGTCGATGATCTTCTGTACCTCAGCGACTCGGAAATCATTGAAGCCGTGCATGGATGGATCAAGGAGAGGTGGCCTTGTGCTCCATTGGAGTATGCCAAACAAGAAGGGGGCATAAGATACCTGGGAATGGAGTTGGTCCAGGATGAGAACGGACTATTCTCCTTGGGGCAGGCGGGCTACGTGCGAAATCTGGTCCGAATCCATGGTTTGAGCGAGGAGGCTACATCGAACCTACCATGCCCGAAGGAATGGTTGTGTGACGATGACTACGACCTTCAGGAGGAGAACTACACGGAAAGCGAATTGAGGCGTGGACAAAAAATCACAGGAGAGTGTCTGTGGT